CAGAGCTTCCTTAAATTGTCATGCCATACATTCAATAAGGTACTGGAAAAATTCCTAAGATATTTTGGTCCACATTGACATGATAGCGTCACACAGGTACTGCAGATTTATCGGCTGCACATCGAGGATGGGAATCTCCAATCCTGCTACATTGAAAATAAGCTCTGTTTGATTGAGGTCCAGTCTCTGTGGAGCCAATTTGACTACAGGGAACTCATTGTCATGTTCAAGAAATCAGCTTGAGATGATTTCAGCTTCGTGACACGGTGTGTTATCCTGCATGGACAGCAGCAATACTCAGGTAGGCTGTGGTGGTTAAATCATGCTGAGTTGGTACTAATAAGTCCAAAGTACGCCAAGAAAATGTCCCCACCCCATTACATCACCAGCAGCAGGCTGAGCTGTTGCAACATAGTCAAGAGTCATTAGACTAGGCAATGAGTTCACAATCTTCTGTTGTCCAATTTTGGTGAACTGAGAGGAGTGTCACCTGATGTGGTCTTCTGCTTCTGCTACCCATCTGCTTCAAGGTTCAACATGTTGTATATTCAGAGATGCTCTTCTGAAAACCTGGGTTGTAACAACTGGCTCTTTGAGCCAATGTAACATTCTGGACAGTCTCCTTCAGCCTCCCATTGTAACGCTCGGTGTGAACTTCAGCAAGTCATCTTGACCATGCCTGCATGCCGCACAGCACTGAGTTGTTGCATGAGATTGGTTAAATAAGATAGTTGCACTAACCACATTACAGTTTGGTATGGAAGCTACTCTGCCAAAATAAAAACCCTTACTCAGTGCAATACTGTACTAACTGACACTCTGAAATCTTGTACTGCTGCTCACTCCTGACGTACTGATGTACTTGTATGACCTGTGTGTGTATAAATGGTTCAAAGTGGTCCTCGGAGACTTCGATTTTTTATTCTAGCAGCTGCAGCACCCCTAGTGTTTGAGAGTCGCCTAAAGAGTTAATATAAACATTTAATTCAAAGGTACATGGAAAGCTGTTACAAGGGGCACAAGTATAAAAATATGAAAGAAAAAAAAAGTATCCTTGAATCTATATTTGCTGTTGGTGGCCATCAAAGACAGACAATGACTTCACACCATTTTAAAAAAAAAAAAAAAAAAAAAAAAAAAAAAAACCACACACCCCTCCACGTCCACATTATCGTTTTCCAACGTTTCGAAGAGTTTTTCATCCACACTGAAACGACTGAAAACCATTACGTTCCTGCACTGCGCATGCGGGAAACGTAAGATGATTCTGCGTCATTTCCGTCTGCTGTTCATTTACTTTCCAGTGCTTTGAAACTTTGCGGCATTATGTCGAGGAAAAGCACAGTTTTTTTAAATGAGAGGTGGAGTTGTTGCTGCGAGTAACACAAGACTACAAAGTTGCAAAAGCGAGCGACAATCGAAGAATAGCTGTCTGGAAAATGTACAAACTGTTGTTAATCTTTAATAGGGATGTCAAAATTGAAGCAACGAACGCTGTCCGCCATCTTAGTTGAATTGGTCACATCTGATTAAAATGTGTCATCTTTTTCAAAAACCCATTGTTTTCGCAGTCCACACTGCTACAAAAAACAAAACAAAAAAAACCAACCCAAAACAAACAATCTTCGTTTTCAAATGTATCCACTTTGGAGAGCGTTTTCCAGAAGCTGTTTTCATTGACCAAAAACGCCATCTCAGTGTGGACAGAAGGCCAAAGCTGAGAGAAAAAGATGTTTTCAAACAAAAACGTGTTAGTGTGGACATGGCCTTAATCTAGCCTCCAAGTGTCCAGAGCTGCGTCAGCTACTCATTTGTAGTTCAAGTAGTATTTGTATTCAAGTGGATTATTTATACCTTCACAGCTGTTGCTACAAAAAA